TGGCACGATCTCAGCTCATTGCGATCTCCGCCTCCTGGGTTCAAGAAATTCTTCTGCCTCAGCCCCCAGAGTAGCTGGGATTACAGGCATGCACCACCACACCTGGCTAATTTTTGTATTTTTAGTAGAGATGGGTTTTCGCCATGTTGGGCAGGCTGGTCTTGAACTCCTGACCTCATGTGATCCATCCACCTTGGCGTCCCAAAGTGCTGGGATTATACATGTGAGCCACCTGGCCTGGCCCACTGTTCTAATCTTCTATCACCATAGTGTACTCTAGCCTGTTCTCGAACTTCATATACATAGGCTCATAGATCATACTCTTTTGTATCTGACTTTTCTCATTTAACTGAGGGGAAATTCATGTAACATGAAAGAAATCATGGGAAAGTGAACAATTTGGTGGCATTTAGTACATTCACAGTTCAGCGTAACCTCCACCTCTGTCTAGTTCCAAAACGTTTTCGTTACCCCCAAAGGAGTCCTCATTCCTGTAAACACTCAGCATTCTCCCCACCCCCAGCACCTGGCAACCACTAATCTGCTGTCTGTCTAACCTTTTCTTCTTATGGTTCATCAGTTCTTTACTGTCTGGTAAAATCCCGCAAGCAGAGAGGGATTATTTTAAAAGGGCTCCAAGAAAGGAAAGGCAGGGGAACAAAAGCAGCACTAGGTAAAGTAAAATGTGGCCAGGTGATCAAGCCACAAAGAAGGAAAACATTCTTAACCCCAAGATGGAGTCTACCCTTCATCTTGGGCAGAAGGTTCCTGCTCAAACCAGTCTTGAAGGCCGCCCTGGTGCTATTTACGTGAGCAGTGTTTAATTTCCTATCAACAAAGCACAATTCAGTGGCAATGTTGAAAGAGAAAAAGCCGCACAGCTGGCTCTCTCTGCAAATAACATTGACATAAAGACCAAAGTAAATGTTAGCATCCTGGAAACAGCAGCAGGTGTCTTAAATACAACAGCAGCCACTGAGGAGAACTGTGGCCACCTGCTAAGTAGCATCTACTCAGCATTCATTTGAAACAATCATAAAAGTTATAATTTCAGACTTCTGGATGCATTTGATCCTGGATCTTTTTTCTAGGTCTTTCTGTGCATTGCTGGGGATTGCTGGACAATTCCTGGGGATTGCTGGACAATTTCTGTTGTTTTCTGGACAGGTTCTTGCCCACCACCATATGCTTAGCACTCAGTACGTAGTGTGATGCTTGCTACATAGTAAGTGAACAATAAAAGTTTTTTGAATGAATGAATAAATGAGCAAACCATGTGGGGCACTGAATCATAAAATCACTGCAGTTTAGACTTAGAGGAGAACTAAAGAGAAGGAAAAACAAACTAATAAATGAACTCCCAGGTAGGTGAGGTGGCTTACACCTGTAATCCCACCACTTTGTGAGGCCGAAGTAGGTGGATCACTTGAGGCCAGAAGTTTGAGACCAGCCTGGCCAACATGGTAAAACCCCGTCTCTACTAAAAACACAAAAATTAGCCAGGCATGGTGGCAGGTGCCTATAATCCCAGCAACTCAAGAGGCCGAGGTGCAAGAATCACTTGAACCAGGGAGGTGAAGGCTTCAGTGAGCCAACACTGCACCACTGTACTCCAGGCCTGGGTGACAGAGAAAGACTGTCTCCAGGAAAAAAAAGAACTCCCACGAGGGACTGTGCAAGGTGGTTTATATGCATGACTCTCTCTTTTTTTTTTTTTTTTTTTTTTTTTTGAGACGGAGTTTCGGCCTTGTTACCCAGGCTGGAGTGCAATGGCGCGATCTCGGCTCACCGCAACCTCCGCCTCCCAGGTTCAGGCAATTCTCCTGCCTCAGCCTCCTGAG